TAATTTTTCATATAATGAATTATTGAAAGATAGAGTGAACATCTATAACTTTATACTAAAAGGATCCGAGGTTAGAGAAGTAACATATGTAGAATTATGTGAGTTTATTAGGTTATGTGGGTTTTAAATTTGTAAAAGATTTGTAAAAGATTTTTTGTAGGCTAAGTTTATATTTATTTTATTAGTTTGTAAAAGAGTTTTTTTGGGTTGAACTTATATTTAGTTCAAAATCCAAATAGCTAGCATTATTATATAAAATAACTATTTTTTCTTTGGAAAAAACAAATCCCATAATATATCTTTAATAAAACTTACTAGTGGAGCAAAGGTTGAATCAAGAATAGCTGAGGCCATATTCTTGGGTGACTGCAAAAGGCCCAAAAGCTTCAAAACATGAAATGCCAAATTTGAAAGACACAAAAGGACTTCCCTCTTAATGCTGGGTTTTACAAATTCGGGATTAACAACATTTAAAAAACAAATCCATTACCTTAGGATTGCTTCAAGGCTCAACATTAAATCTATTTCTTTTTGCATTAGTTATATACGAGCTCATTGAAAATATCTAAAATAAGTTGGCATGGTGCATGCAAAAATTAGTGATGATCTTAATGCGAAATTAGAATTATGGAAGCAAACATTAGAGTCTTGAGGCTTTAAATTGAGTAGATCTAAACTTCTTATATAGAATGTAAGTTTAATAGTAGTAGGAAAGTGAGTGTTAGTGTGATTAAGTTGGATGGTGAAGCAGTACCAAAGAGTAGTCATTTTCAATATTTGAGATCAATTATTCAGAGTGATGCTGAGATAAAAAGAGATGTAAATCATAAGATTCAAATAAGATAGGTGAGATGGCAAAATACTTCAGGTGTGTTGTGTGATCACAACATATCTTTAAAGTTAAAAGGGAAGTTGTATTTGAATAACCACAAGGCCTGCATTATTATATGGGACTGTATGTTAGGTCGTAAGGAAACAACATGAGAAAAAATGATCGTCACTGAGATAAAGATGCTTAGATGGATGTGTGATAAAATTAAAAGAGACAAAATCATAAATGAAGAGATTCAAAAAATTTATTAATAATTCGAATTCAAGAAAAGATAAAAGATGATTGTTTAAGATAATTTGGTCATGTGAAACGTAAGCTAATTTGTACACCAATTAGGAGAAATAAGCTTTCGGCTTTAGGATAAACCAAAGCTTTTAGAGATAAACCATAAAAGATGTGGATGCAAGTAATGAGAAATTATATGAGGGTTAATGAAGTAGATGAAAATGCTTTTTTTTTTTTTTTTATGGAAGTGAGTGGTGCAAAATGATTAAAAATAGCCTAACATGATTCCTTTTTTTGGCATTTTATATAACCAGACCACAGAGTTATAGGATTTAAGGTTTTGTTTATTGTTTTTTTTGTAAAGTGAAATAGAGATGCACGAATAGGAATGTTTTTCTAAATAAAGTAGAATAAGATGTTATATAACTAAATGTATCACGAAAACCATCAAAAAAGAAATTATAAGTTTCAAATATTTTCCTTTCTCTGTAAAAGAAAATGTTTAAATCATCGAAACATGTACTTTAAAAAGACATGACAAGATTTATCCATCAGGTCGAGTTGTTGGCGAAGCTTATATGAAAAGAGAATAAGGTATACTGTTGAAACAAAATCACATGTGATTGGTAGAATGAACATGAATTGTAATCGCAATAATCTTTCACGTTAAATAAAATAATAAAAAAGTAATAGAATAAAATTATTAATTCAATAACTTCATGTAATAATAATAAAAATAGAATATAGTTGTTTTCAAACAATTAAAAAAAATACAATAAAAATTTTTATTAAATCAATATCAACTTCAAATAATTAACAAAAAATAAAAATATCAATTAATTATTAGCTAAATACTTAATTTAGTGCCTAAAGTTTGAGAGATAGCTTAAATTAGGACTTGATTGTACAATTTAAAAAAAAAAAAGGTCTCATTTATTTGAAAATTAACAAATAAGGGCTTTTTCAATAAAGTTTGTAAAATATATTACACGTGTTGTTATATTCTAGATAGATATTAAAATTGCCAGATAACTATTAATATTACCAAATAAGATTCCAAGTAAGATGTTTAAATGTAAAAAAAAATATTTTTAAGAAAAATTGTAAAAGAAAAAAGTTAAATAAATATGAAAATTACTCACCAAAAACAAACCTTAATTTTTTTTATTCCTTTTAAAAAATCTTTTTTTTTCCTTTCATGCATTTGTAGTTTACTTCCAGATTTTCAAACAACCAATTTTTTAGTTTTTTCTAAGAATATCAATGCAAAAATCCAACGTTAAACTCTTATTATAAGATACTAAACTAAAACTAAGGTTTTTGTGGTATCTCAATCCCACATTGAGATGCTCTAAGAATCTATTATGATATATAAGTAGAAACTTAAATCCATACTTGTGAAGCAAACAATACCTCATAAGTTAATTGTGAGTCTTCACAAATAGTATCAGAGTAAAGTTACCAGTTAGATGAGAGCTAAGTGCTATACCGTAAGAGTCACTTTTAGAATCCTGAAGGAGCTAAATGCTACATAGTGGGAGCCACCTCTAGAAGCCTAATGTTTGGTGTGATTTTAGTTCTATGATTTTATGTGTGCTTTGTGTTGGGTTTGATAAGGATGTGAAACTTTAACGAGATAAGTTTATGACACCCAAATCTCACATCAAAATGTTCAAAGGATCTATTATGGTATATAAATAGAGATTTAAATTGTGAAGCATTTTTTGTGGGATAAAACTGTGAAACCTCTAAGTCAAAGCGAACAATACCTCACAGGTTAGGTGTGAGTCTCCACAGTTATACTATTAGAATATTCAAAGATATTAGCCAAAAAACAACTCGAGATGATTAGCTACAAAAAATCTAACTTGAAAGAATTGTATATTCAAAGATAATTTGCTACAAAAATTCATAAATGAGATTTAAAGGATAAGAAATGATTGCCTCCCATTTGGTAGTTTAAGCCCAATCATATTTGCTTCCATTCACATAGCATAAAAACCTCAATACAATCAAAATAACAACTTCAAAGGCAAAGAAAACATCCAAATTAATGGATGAAAATAAAAAATAAAAAGTTGAACACACCTCTAAAATCTCATAAGTCCTCTTTAAATTCATTTTACAAATATCTTTACAAACAATCCTAGCAACCTTACTTTTCTCCACCTTTCATGAATCCCATTCACAATTTCTTTTATAATCATTGCTTCTAAGTTTTGGGTTTTAGGAGAAAACGGACAGTTTTGAGTTTGATATTTTGTTCGAGTTAAAAATGAGTATTTAGGAAGTTAAGAAAGAAAAAAAAAGGTTAATAATAAAAAGGTCCACGGTGGCTACGATAAAGATGGTGTCTCATGGTAGTAGAGGTTTTGGCGAAATCCAAACTGATAGAAAGGAAGGACTTGAAGAGAAGAATAACATACTAAAAGCTAGGATCATTTGGAACAATGGAGACACAAATTTTAAGAGAAAAAAACCCTTGACTTTAGGTGCATATTTAGGCAATTAGGAGATGTTTTTGAGAATTTCATTTAGAGATTAAGAAAGAGGAGGTTGAAAGTGGTTTGTGATGAAATTTTGGGCACAAAAAGGTGTTAGATGGTGATGAAGGACAACCATCAGTGGTGGTGCTAGTGACTCACACAACGATTGAAAGTTTGGTAAAGGGAGAGAAAAAGGGTAAGAAAGAAAAGAGAGTTGGAAAGAAAAACAAAAAGAAAAACAAGAAAAAAGAAGAGAACAAAAGAAATTTAAAATAAATTAAATATTATACATCATCAAAAAAATTATACATAATCTAAAATATGCTTTGATTCATGCAATTTAATGGCACATGTAATGTATATGTAAATTCTATTAAAAAAAGTTTAATTGTTGCATTTTGAATAAATAAGTTTTTATTTGTTAAAATTTAAAATTTAAGTCATGATTTGAGTAACCTCTTAAATGTTAAAGATTAAATTAAATATTGTTATGCCTAGGTCAACAGGTTAACGGTCAAAGTTTAATCAATGTAGTTATGCCATTGGATAGCCTAGATAGCCACATTATTTGTCTTTAAAGAAATGGCTTGTCTATTTTCAAAGGAATGATTTACCCAAGGTTTCACAAACATCAAATCAAGACAATCATTTTAGAATTGATCATTAGATATTCAATTTGTTTGACATCATTAAATGTAAATCACACTTACTCGAAATTATTAGATGCAACTAGTAACTATCCGAATGAACTTTTATCGAACTCTATGTAAATATTTTATCAACTATCAATTATTTCAATTAAATTATTATCTTTTTATCTCAAATATAAGGTAATTGAAAATCTAAGTACACGAGACAATTAGAACTTGGGGCACACCTAATCCAACTAGGCACTTTTAAAGTTTTCCTCCATTGAAGCTTCCCTCGTATATCTTAGTATCTTTATTCCTGTTTCTTACTTCTTTACCTTATCTCAGGGAACATATTAATTTGAGCATCAAAACGCACTCAGAATAAAAATAACAACTCCAACGCATTTGAATGCTTCCAATTACTATTACTAGTATATATTTTTTAACTTTTAATTATTATTTGAAAAGTAACAATGCTCCAATAAAAACAAAAGATCGAAATCAGAAGAAAACTGCGTTAAAAGTCTCAAAGCAAATGGGGTCCATTAAGCACATTCTAGGAAGGTTCGTCATCCCCATTCTTTGGGTTTACACTTTACCGACATACCCCAAAAGCTGCGAATGAAAAAAAAAAAAAAAAAAGAGCTTTAAAATCCCCACAAAAATCAAGAAAACTGGACGCGGCATCCGCATCAAGAAATTTCGTGCCCCCAAACTGAAGGGTAGTCCCACTCTTTGCCATAAGCTCCCATCTGATTGGCCCAAACATAGTTTGTAGGATACGTGGCTTCTCATATTTTCCCTTCTCGTTCCATTGAAAATGCCAACGCAACACCACTCTGCAGTCTGAACTTCACCAACCTGTCAAACTACACGTGTCGCCACGAATACCTGTGAGCCCATCCCTGGTTAAGGTTAGTGAACCAGAGTTTACGACATTGGTGGTTAGCATGAGCCCAAGTATGTTTATCACCACCAACCCCAGCCCAACTTGGTTTTTATGTTGGTTCAAAAGACAACCTTTCTTAATGTTATGTGGAAGAAGCTTGCTGCTGCTTCCCTTGTTTTGTCTCTACAAGCTGGAAATTAACTCTTTCCTGAATTTTAGAAGAGAATCAAAGTGGTTTGTGGAAAAAAAAAAAGGAAAAAAAAAAAGATGGGACTGTCCAACTTCCCTAGTGCAGCAGAAGGGGTACTTCCAGTGCTAGTAATGAACACTGTTCTGTCAGTGGCTTTTTTGAAAAACATGGTGAGATCTTTACTCGAAGTGGTGGGTGCAACTGGGAGTAGTAGTACTTCTTCGAACTTAGATATTGAGGACTCAGATGGGTACCTAGAAGAGATTATGAATGCAAGGGAGAGAAGGATATCAATAACTCAGTTCAAGTCCTTGTGCCAGGACAGGTCCTCATTATCCTCATCATCATCATCATCATGCGACGGTTCAGCTATTGCAGGTATAAGCGATTGTTGCAGTAGCAGCAGCAGTGGGGATGGGAGTGGATGGGCTAACACAGTGGAGTGTTGTGTGTGTTTATGTGGGTTTGAAGTAGATGAGGAGGTGAGTGAGTTGTCTTGCAAGCATTTCTTCCACAAAGGTTGCTTAGAAAAATGGTTTGGTAACAAGCATAGTACATGCCCTCTCTGTCGATCTATTCACTAGAAAATCAGAGGAATACTTGTTTTTCTCAATTATATCCGTTGTACTCATTTTTTTATTTTCTTTTTTCTCCCTTCTTGGTTCATTTTTGAGCAAAAAATTAGACTAGCTAGGGTAAGGTCTGTCTTTTTCTCTCCTGTGTGTGTTACAGTGTTTACATGTACCACAAACAGTATAAGAATAAGGGATTGAAGAGTTTTTGAACTCCTATATTGTGCCTCTGTGTATTGCAATTTGCAAGTTTTTGTTTCCAAGTTTAGACGTGGGGCAAAATTTTGAGTTTCCCTCAGTCTCAGTTAGTGACTTCTCAAATTTCAGAGAGCAATACGAATGTTGTATTAGTAGCACTACTAGTAGAATATAAGATCGGATCATCATTTCTTAAAAAATATATAAAAAAAGTAGCCAATTTGGGGGCTTTTCTAGTCGTTCATGGGCCCGTACTTCATCTACAAAGTAAACCGTCTTTTAGTGATTCTATTTTCGATGAATCAGGTGAGGTCTGAGGAACTTTTGGTGCGGGCTAGGCTACTACAACCGGGCAACTATTTTAGCTAGTAAATCAGTTTGCTATTAGATTCACAGGCAACCAGGCAACTATTCTGTTTGCTAGTTTTCTTGCCATAGATTCACAGGGAAAGTTGCAAGTAATTACTGTAAGATAGAAAAAAAATTGAGTGGTCGTGCTTTCTCTAACGCAACTATAAGGTTCTCTGGTTTAATAATGGACATGTTCAGAATTGCCTTTTACATCTATTTGGATATTGTTGCAACTGATTGAGACTAACGTTTCAACCAATATTTTGTATTCTAAAGAAAAGAGAAGCTAAAAGGAAACAAAAAGACTGGAAAAGTTTATCTGTTATATTGTTATAGTCCACTTCGGGTTTTTGGAAACGCGTTAGAATAGCTTGGAAAAGTTTTGGGATCTTGACTAAAAATCAGGCCTGGAATCCTAATGAAGGATCCACAGCAGCAACAGATGTAAAGTCCAAAGTCATTTCATTATTGCTCATGGATTTAGGAATTCTTTTTGTTAATTAAACAACTGGTACATGATAATCATCTAGACATGTTGGTTTACCACAGAATGTAGCCAAAAGCTGCTCAAGTGGGTTCGATGAGGACACCTGGTTGGTTGGTTTCTGGATCGGGAAAATCTAGAAGGTTGTTCATCTACACCTTGAGTGTCTGAAGAGTTGTTTTCAATTTTGGAAAGATAATTAGCCGATTGCAAATCCAAATCTTTCATGCTCTAAGCTTAATCACAAAATCTTGATTTCAATTTGGACAACCACAGATATTAATACTCATTTCTTCTGTGGTGGGGCAGAAAATATTTTGGTGCAGTAAATAAATTAAAGCAGCCGTAAGCTCTGTGGCAGTACTGGCAGATATATACTGTCAAGAAAATTTTTAGGGTATATTACAGGAAATCGTGTCTTGCTTTGCTTTCACTTCACAAGTACATTTTGCATAAAAATAATTTCACTTACCTCGCAAAGTTTATCTGATAGATTTGGGAAAAGAAAGAAAATAAGAACCGCCAAATCAATTGTAAGTAGTTTGGAGCAGAGGAAAATTAATTTGGGGACCTTTTTTTTGGTTGGGGAATGTGAAGTTCTTTTCAATAGGAATCCAGGCAATATGGGTTGGATCTAGATGAAGAACATGCTTAGGCTTGGTGCTCAAAGCCTCAAACTCTGATCCAATAGTTTATTGGACACTAGATAATCTAATATATGAAAGAGAGTGGCATGAAAGAAATAATCGTGTAAAGCACAACTATTAATGCATATCAAGATATCTGATTTGGGTCACTCGCTTTATCGGTTGCATTTTTATAGTCCAATTTTGTTGTTCCGAAGATGAGATCGAATCTAATTCCCTTCCTTTTTTCGCCATCATATCTAATAATATCAGCCAACTTTGTGGACTGAAGAAATTGCAATAAAGAAAGTGAAGAAGAAACACGACAAGTACTTCCAAATTGAGAAAACAGCGAAGGCATAACGAATTCCTAAAGCACTTTTAGCTTTTATAATAATTCACAATAGGCTTATTTAAAATGAGTACCAAGGGTAATCACCAACATGGCTAGAACAGAGGAAATGACAGGAACAACTTGGGGAAGAATAATTCTTTTAGCATAAAAAAGCTTTTATCATCAAGCAATCCATCATTACACAGACCTAGGAAATCAAATTCTAAGGAGTTCTGATTCCTCTTCCAGATCAGTAATTGGTCTAGTAGCATAAGGAAGGTAAGTGGAAGTTTTCCTGGTTGTTTATGAATGATTTCCAGCTATATGAAATATCAGTAACAATTTATGAATAATTCAAAACCAATGAAAATTTCCATAGAATGATTTCCAGCTCCCTTAGTGGTATGGTAACAAGTTCATCAATTATTTGAACATTTTCAAATATATAAAAGGTATCCACATAAATGGAAAAGCAAGTTTTGATTGCCTATACAGTAAATGATTCTCATGAAGTCTCTATTTCCATCTAGATGTTTAATCTGTGCCAAGTGAATAAAGCCTTCAAGAAAGTGGTCATATGATATGTTTCTAAAAGCATTCTGATTTTTCATTATCCTAGGCTTTTAGCATATTGTTGGAGAAGTTATTCATCCTAATTGCACTAGTCGGAGGAATATTGCTTGTATTAGTCCCTGACTCTTGTGAGTTAAATGAAGAAAGTATTGCCTGGCATGGGTTCAATTGGAAGTTCTTAGACTTCTCTCCAAATTTGAATACACTTGTAAATACTTAAAACCTTTTATTTATAACTTGTATTTAGGTAACCAGTAGATGGTAATTAAGTTAAAGTAGATGATCAACAAACTACTATACGAGAATATAGAGCAGGATAGAACACTTGCAGAATACTATATATGAAGATTGAAAAGTGCCAATGATCTCACAGGATATCACGTCTCAGCTTTTACAGCCCCTTGAACACCCACTCCATACTCTGGCAACCATTGCCCTGCAGGTTGAAGCCATCACTGTAGCTTTGGCGCTAGTGACCATTCCCACCCCAATTACTGTGCTCATATCTCATTGCCTCAAACCTCATGGTTGCTGGAGCTTGATATATCCTGTTAAAAGCTTCATATTCGGAGCTTGCAATCAGGTTGGGGTACTTACCACCAGTTGAGACCATAGAACCAACATTGGTGGCATAGCCACCATTGAAACGTCCATATTTCTCTGGACTGACAATGCAATGTTGGCGCATACTTTCGGTGAGCCAGGCATTTTGGTGCATATTTTGGGCATGCAAGACATCCTGATGCATGGCATAGTTCCCATGGAACATCATTTGGTGTGTGGAGAGTTGAGGAGATTCCATGGAGCAATTAGGCATGGCTGGCGTCCCCCAGAGATGACCCTGATATCCATTTTGCCAGCTTTCCTGATGCATGGTGGAATAGCTCTGCTGGCCCAATCCATAGCCGTGTTCTAATTTGTCTAGCATTCTTTCTTGATGTTTAAAAGAGATCTGTGTAATGTTGAGCTTGTATGTTTCTTTGTGGATCTATGCTATGTATAGGCATTTTTTGGACGGATAAAATAGTATCTCATACCCATATCTTACGAGCATTGGATTCTATACTTTATTGACCAAATTCAGCAGACTAATGGGCTATGAAATAGCTCTAAAAAGTTGTGGATTGATTCCTGTATGGACTGAAAAGCAGAACCTTAAGAGTTAATCTAAGTTTAGAGTAATTCTCACAAGTTGTGTTCATGACTCTAAAGAGCTCATCTAGGCTTGGAATAATTCCTAGTACTTGCAACGTTTTTTACGATCCTTAATTTGTGGCTTTAAAAAAAAAAAAAAAACCATAATAGCAAAGCCCGAATATATGCTTCACTTGTTATCAAGGTTCTGCTCTTACAAACAAAAGTTAAAATGGATTAACAGAATAATTTTCGGCTATCAAATTCCAGATTCTTCAGACCTGAAAGTACCATGGTAATTTCATACATGCTTCTGACTCGGTAAGAAACAAGGGCTGGTACCCTGATGCTGTTATGAACCTTCGATTAAGCATGGAGGGACGAAATTGACAGGTGCAAATTTAGTAATGTAGTTTTGAGTTTTGATCTCGATCATATGCTTGGATCAATGGCTATTCAAGAAATAATTGTGTTTATGCACAAATATAATCCTCCATAATAAGAAAGCATAGAATAATTTCACTAATTTGTTCCTTTCCAACTATCAGCAAAGTGCATCTGCCCTAACAGCTTCGCTAGACACTTTTGCACTGTATGATTGGAAGCGGATGCCATCCTTGGGTATTTCCATCATCTTTTCCAAATGCGACCAGTAATTCTATACGTGGATGGAGTAACCCAGTCAACCGTAGTGCCAAGACCATTGTCTTTCAAGTCATTTAGATTAGGAACACGATAGGATGACGACATAATGATGCCACTTTGCTTACATCATAGTGCCTTCTGTCATCTGATGCTTAGGGCGAATCAAAACCTTTATGCTTTAGTGACCGTGAAGACTTAAGACTCGTCTTTTTAGCTTCCAAAGTTTCAAGTCTTTCAAAGATAGAAAGCAAAGTAACAAAAGAATAATTAGGTTAATTGGTTTATGCATTTCCCTTTAAAAGGTGACATTTAATAGGTATAATGTTAAAATTTTAGTATTTGCAATTTCTTCCCTCAAGGCTATGATTTCTTTTGTATCTCAAGAAAAAGAAATTTTGATCGAAGTGTTTGAATTTTTCAATAAATGAGCTACTGGTAATTGATGATTTTATAATTTAATAAACAAAATTGATAAATTTAGTTTTAATGTAAGATAAGCATGAGAGTCCAAATAGTTAATTGTGATAATTTATGTATGGGTTTTGGGCATCTTAATGGGTCAGTATGATTTGACAATTATGTAGATTTTTGACTCGATAAAATTTTGATGAGGAGATTTTTAAGGTTTTAATATAAATTGCTTAAGGTCCTTTTTTTTATTTCTAAGTAATAATATCTACTTGTTAAGAGCCACCCTAAGAGAAAAGTAAGGAGAAAGACTTACTCTTTTTAAGAATTGGTGTTACTTCTATTTATCATTTATGTTTGCCTAATCAGGTATGCAATAGAATTGAATTTAGTGTTCTAATATTCATATATAACTCTTGAGATTTAGAATTATGCTTAAATGTGGTATTAGAGCCTAATTATGTGA